GATATAATAGGCTGAGTCCTAACATACCTATAATCAAGCTAGTTCAAGATTTTTATTTTTTTATTTATTTTTTTTAGCAAAACTAGCCATATAATATTTGACAAATGCAACTTGTATTTAGGTAACTCCAGCAAGACTGTTTAATATCCCTGCTAGTATACACCCTTGAAATACATTGGAACACATCTGTTGATCCAGACATTTTTGGTATTGATCTTATATTGGACCACAGGACTTAATATCGCAGTGCCTCTTGGTAGCTTGGCTGTTGTCTGGTACCATATGTAGGCCAGAAAAATAGACACATTTTAAGAGCAGTTTGATTGCTTACTCGGCCTGATATGATCCCTCTGAATACTGCTGGGGAAGCAGTTAGATTTTTTTTTTTTCAAACAAATGTGGTTAAAGTGTACTGGCCTTTGCTGGAGGGATGGTCTACTGGGGAAACCAGGGGGTAACAATGCTAGGCAAAGGTCAGTAGAGTTGGCCAGGAAAAAAAGGCAAAAATTGTTGGTGAAAATTTTTCCCAGATTTTCACCTGCTCTAAGATTTGGTCTGCTTAATTAAGGGAAATGAGGATGGGTGGAGAACTCCTAGAGACTTTAAATTTCCCTTGCCTCTGGACCTTAATCTATGCAAGTTTCCAACCAGAATAAATCTGTTTACCTTAACTAATGTGTGTGTCAGACTTCATTTTGAGGACTAACCCTTGGATCTTCACAATGGATCAGACCTGCTCAAGAGGGTACTGGCAGGCAGATTGTTTTGATTTTGTTTTTCTTAACGCTCACCATTTCCACTTTTAAATAGGTAGTTCTAATTGTCTAATGCCACTCACTCCCTGTTGGCAATTTTTATTAGATGAAAATATTCTGTTGCTTTACATCCCATTGATTTCAGTGGCCAAAAGATCAGTCCCTAACACTCTGCCATGAAAGCATAGACTAAATGGATAGCTATATTTTAAATGGAGTGGCAGATTAATGGTCTGTCTTGTACTTTTCTTCTTGACGTTTATTGACTAGTTGTTTTTTATTGTGCTGGTTAAGCGCCCACTCAAAATAAACCAGTTTTTATTTACAAACCAAATGTTGACAACATTTTTAAAAATTGTGTTGCTTTAGCTATTCCTCTTATAACTAACAATTAAAAATCCTAGTTATGGTAGCTAGGAATGGATTTTGCAATCTCACCTCATTTCCAATTGTTAAGTTGGAGGGGCTACTCGTGCAGATATCTTTCAACCTACAAGACTTCAGGAGTGAACTCAATGGGAAAAATTCCAGTGACTTCAGTACCGTCAGGATTTAACCCCAGATCCGTATTCTGGGATGAGACATAGTTTCTTTATCCTTTCATTCTGCATTCCATTTCCTAAATTTCTCTTTTTCAGTATCCTATTTTCTAGCTACAGTATTCTGTGTGTTTCCCTAGAGCAAGGACCATCATTCAATAGGAGAGGATAATAATCACTTTACCACTAAAGGCACTATAAGCCTCATGCAAAGCACATGGAAGTTAATGGAAATACTCCCATTGATGGCTCCTGTTTAGTTCAAGAAACCCAACCCTGCAATACAGGGAAAAATCAGATTCCAGGTTCTTAATTACAGAACTCTGTAGCATTGTAGCTACATTGCTCTTTGAACCAAAAGAGCTTTGCATACAACGGTGTTTGCTTAGGATGTCACATTTGCATTTATAAAAGCATATCTTATCTTATCATCACTGGTTTTACTTGCTGCAAGTTGGTCACATTGTAGCTAATCAGTGGCATAACAGTATTAGCTCAACTGGCTGCAATGGAAAAATACAAGCTAGGGAGAGGACACAGTCATGGATGAGCATCCACTGCAAATCTGTACCAGAAGGTGCATCAGACCACACCTGGGTTAAGTCAGAATAATGAATGATGTATCTAAGAAATTGATTAATCTGGCAAAGGAAGCAAAACTAGCAAAGCCTGCTAGTATATTGCCCAAAAGATTAATAGTATTTTGTCAATTATTAAAATATATACTATGCTTGATCTTGTCACGTGTAGTCAATAAATCAAGAAGTAATAATGAGAGAGTATCCTGGAATCCAGCTACAATATTAAAGCCATTACATTGCCTTACAAAGACTGACAGACTTAACACTTTCTGAACCAAAATGGACTTTGTAAATAAATAAACTTCATGAACTGTAGCAAAAATACTGAGCAAGGGTTCAGAAGTTCAGAGATAGGGAACTAGCTGGAAAAGTCCCCAAGCAAGAAGTAGGAATGCTTGTAAGGGGGGGAAAAAGAGCAATAACCATTTTCAGTTGAGGTTCAACTGGCAAGATTAAAAAGAGCATTTGGAACGGCTGTGATAACAGAGCCTAAATGCTCAAAACATTTATTCATTCATTCATTCATGTATTGATTTAAAAAAAACATATCTGGCACTTCATATGTCTGGTAAATGTAAATCCGTGACTTCTGGATTCTCTCTCCATTCATTCTGTTATGAATTATGTATGCATATGGTGATGCCATTGTCATGTAGGGAAGGCATCCAAATATTTCTAATTTTTATCTCAGTTGGAAAAGGCATAGGGTCTAAAGGGATGAACCTCCTTATCAAATGCATCCATCCTCCCTTTGTTGCCTTAAATGTACAGTAGGTGACACAGTTCTTTCTTATTCCTGTAAAAGGACTGAAGGATTTAAAGGCTAAAATCTATCTTTCACCACAGTGGACACGTGGGGATTTAAAGAAGGCACTTTTTTATTTGTAACACTGCCAAAAGAATATTGTGATGCTTTGGAAACATCCTTAGGTATTGATCTGAAAAATGATGGCACAGACTCAGACCTAGCGAAAGTAATGGAGTCAGATTATCCAAATTGGTTTTAAAGACTTTAGTCATATATCAATTCAGCATAAGAGTTTTTGCATATCTGAACGAATCATGTGTCTTGCCCTTTGTTGTTATAACAAACTAATTGTGAACCGTAAATGCTTAGTTTTTTGTATGATCTGTTTTAAAAACAGTCATCTAAAGTATATTTTTATAAATGACACACAGATTTCCTCTTTTATATTTCATTACTACATTTATTGTTCACTGATTGTTTTCTCCAAGGCACATTTATTGTGATTTTTAACTTTAAACAACCATGATTGTCACAGATGCTGACAGCCTTGGAATTAGTCACAGGGCTTCTCATGTGTTCCTTCTATTATGTGTACGTGGATCTTTTCCTTTCTATGGATCATGCTGCGTAACCTCCTTTCTCTCCTGAGCTACGTGTGCAGCAATCCTTTTCTTTTTCTGCTACATGCACAGTAATCTCCTGCTAACGCAACAGCACACACTAAGAGACTGATCCCTGTCACCTCCAAGATCAAGTGGCTTCCTGCATAATGCCACATGATAGGAGATTACATGCTTAAGATGTATTTCAGTCTCAGAGTTTTCTTGCTGTTTGTAAACCATTCAAGCCCTTCCCCTGAAGTCTGTGACATCATCTAAATCCCTCACTGGGACTACAATCTTGTGCTCCGTTAGACAGCATATCTTTGTTCTTTATTTTCTCCTTCTTTTGCTTTCTACAGAGCTGCAGGTTTGCTGGTGATGCACATGTACTCTAAGCTGCCATGATTTCCCATGTATGGTATCTTATTAGTTCACTTGATGAAAACCTTTTGCAATTACCTTCAGGGTTCTCAAAGCCCTTTGCAAACATGAATTAACAATCCTTGGATGCAGATGATTATTAGTCTCATTTTATTTATTTTTATAAGTATCTTTATTAAGTTTGCATTTATGGTAATTAAAATCATTTAAGCAAAACAAATATTGACAAATAAAGCATGGCAAATTAATACACTACCATTTGCAAATATGCAATACATATGTGTTTCTTTACAGGATAAAAATATCTAGGTGATGGTCAAATAATCTTCAGTAGTGAGGTATGAAACATTAGATATTACAATGATTCTTATTTTTGTGTGTTAAGTTTTTTTTTCCTCCTCAGATTTTCTTCTCACTGGATACCAGGATAGGGGCAAAAGAATATTAAAAGCTTCCAAAATTCAGTATCAAAACTGTACACACTGCAGAGTCGAGGACTCAAGAAAAATACCAGTTGGCTTCCACATGAAATCCTGGATGTTCGTTCTTACTGAAGCGGAATGATCTAGATGAGAGAGCACTGGACTGGAACTCAGGACACCTGGGATCTGTTTCCTGCTCTGCTACACGCCTGCTGTGTGACTTTGGGAGTGTTGCTTTGCCACTTTGAACCTCAGTTTCCCCATCTATAAAGATCAGGGGGTAGCCGTGTTAGTCTCTATCCACAAAAACAACAAGGAGTCTGGTGGCACCTTAAAGACTAACAGATTTATTTGGGCATAAGCTTTCGTGAGTAAAAAACCTCACTTCTTCAGATGCATGGAATGAAAATTACAGATGCAGGCATTATATAATGACACATGAAGAGAAGGGAGTTACCTAACAAGTGAACTCCCTTCACTTCATGTGTCATTATATAATGCCTGCATCTGTAATTTTCACTCCATGCATCTGAAGAAGTGGGTTTTTTACCCACGAAAGCTTATGCCCAAATAAATCTGTTAGTCTTTAAGGTGCCACCGGACTCCTTGTTGTTCCCATCTATAAAGTGATGATAATAGTATTTAACTTTCTTAATAAAGTGATGTTAGGTGTAAGTGTGAAGAGATAAGTATTCTAAGTCTATATTATTATAATGAGCTAAATGTTCTTGTTATATATGATGGGGTGTAATGCATTTTTCTTGAGGAATCATTATGCTTTACAGTAACAACATTCAATAGTCTTTTCCAAAAGAAATTAAAACTATGGCTATGGTAACACTTGGAGCTAGTGGAGTGATTCCCAGCTTGAGCATACATACTTGTGCTAGCTCTTATCAAGCTAGTGCGCTAAAAATAGTAGTATAGCCATGGTAGCATGAGCAGCAGCAAGCAGTGGCATGGGCTAGCCATGCTGACTACAAACCTACCAAGACCCCATGGACACATATTTGGGGTGGCTAGCCCATGCCACCATTCACCACTGCCTGTGCTTCCTGGCTACGTTACTATTTTTAGCACACTAGCTTGATGATAGTATGTCTAGTCAAGCTGGGAATCACACCCCTAGCTCCAAGTGTAGATGTAGCCAGTGATTCTTCACTCTTTATTACTCAGTATGATATTTCCAATGTAGCTGTAGTTTTTATGTCTTTAACCATTACTGGATTGATGGAAATAGAATAGCCTTCCATTGCAGAGCTATTCTGTGCTTGGCTAGGAGGAGTACAATATAAATAGATTTCTATTGGTGTTTGACTCTGTATCTTGTTTGAAGGTCTTTAATGATATGGAGTAGGCATAGTTTTGGATCACATGAGTTAAGTTTTGTTATCCAGGAAATATGCTTAATAATTGCTGGTCAAAAGGGTGCCTCATAGGGACATTGCTATACCATGTGTGTGGGTACCAGTTTCTGTTTGGCACTGAAATGAGAAATCAGGTGATGTTACAAGGGGCGGTGTAGATTCTTTGTGGGATTTTGTACAAAGTTATGCAGAATTTTTAATGTTATAACATTGAATTGAATGCTAGAAGAAGAGGAAAATATTCAAAAGTGTCTAAGTCCCATTTTCAAAAGTGATTTAGGCACTTAAGAGCTTACATCTCATGGAAAATCAATAGGAGATAGGCTCTTGAGTGCCTAAATCTCTTTTGAAAATGGGACTTAGTCTTCCAAATTACTTGGGTGCTTTTGAAAATTGTACTCCATACCATTTCCCCACGTCATTATTTCCCAGTATCTAAGTCCATCTTCCATCTACCTGGTACTTCTAGGATCTGGTTTAGAAATACTCTTATTGATCCAAGATAATGCATGTTTATTGTACAGGGAGAAAATGAATGTATTTTCAACTACAGAATCATTTGTTTTGTTAAATTTAGGTTTTAAAGCTGTAGTAGTGCATTTGGATGTTGTGTAAATAATTTATCCTAAGTGGTTATCGGAGGGGGATCAAGAGTGTAGAACTCTTTCTGCACTCTTCATATAATTATAATTTTACTTTGCTGTTGCTTAAAAGCTATCTAGCCAAAAGACAATTATGCCTTTTCTGATACATAGCTATAAATAATTGAAGATCCTATGGCAGTTCTTTAAAGACTGAGAGAGGCTAGCAGATTGAGCTACGTTTAGATGTGCATATGGTGAGTTAAAGCTTTTGCCTAGGCTTCCTCATAAGTTTGTTCATATATTCTAGGATGGAGATATAAATTAGAAGCATTTAAAGAGCATCATATAGTGAAATCTCAGTGATGAGTGTTTTTTTCGCTTTACAGGCAGGAATAGACTGGGATCGTGGTAGGATCTAGATTATTGGAGCTGTACTAAGTATAGTTGAAAGTTGGGAAGGACCAAGACCCCATTCACCATTCAGTGGTGAGTATTAGTGTCTTGAGCATTTAGCTGTACCATATGTGAAAGACATGGCTGATCTGATCCTCTTAAAATAGGCTTTGGGTAGGTTAGCTAGAAATACTAGCAAAATGTAACAGGGCCAGATTTCCTGGTCTGTTAAGATTACCAGTTGCCACTTGAGCTAGTGCTGGCATTCATTGGGTTCTTTTCATTATGGAGACTTTTAATCATGTATTTGTTGTTCCCAGTTGGCACTTACTCCCCTTTGGAAAGCCCCAAGGTCTTACATGATATTTTTTTCCCCCTCATTTTAGATGGCAAAAAGTGACACAGAGAATGAGGTGGGGGAGGAAGTGGGAGGGGGAGAGAGAGAGGTTAAGTGATTGGCTCCGGGTCACACAAGAAGTGTGTGTCAGAGAACCTAACTCCAGACTCCCACTTCAAAGCTATCCCTCCTTCTTGTTTCCATCATAGAAAGTGCTTTTCAGGGTTTTGACTGGCTCAGTGGTGTTTGGTAGTACAGCACGCTGGACGTGAAAGGAACATACCTTTATAAAGGTCAGTCAGGAACTCGCAGCCTGGGTATAATCAAGGAGGCTCCCTGCTCCACCTAAAACAGAAAAAGGAAGCTGACTAGGGGGCCAGAGACTAGAAGTTACACAACTGGCAAGGGGGAGGTGATCTTTGGCCAGCTCCCTGACGGTAAAGCCTTTGAACTGTAGTTCAAGTGCTCCTTTCATGGGGCTTCATTAAAGGGAGTCATACTTATGTTAATTAGTGTGCGTGGCTTCCTCTTGCCCTGGTCTGAACAAGCACATTTGTTGACACCCAATTGAGGAAAAATAAGCCAAAGCGTAACCCCAGTACCACTCCTGACCATAAGGGAATATATGGGGTGGCCCACCTCTTTACATGCAGTAATGTTAATTAGTTAGAGAAAGCAATTGTAAGTATTTTAATGTAGGCTGCGGTACTTTCTCAGTTCAGACCATATAAAAATATTTATAACTGAATCGTCTTAATGAATAAGATGACAGTGTTCATGGATCATGTAACCAAATATACCAGGTGCATCAATGACTTAGGCAATTGCCAAGAAGAGGTTTTTGTGTAACTCTTAAAATTTAAATCAAAATTGGCAGGAAGAGTAAATTAACGTTGAATTACAATGGAATTCCTATGCAGGTGTATGACATCCAAATTAATACCAAATGAGCCTCTCATGATTAATGTTAGTATCATGGACACCAAAGGAATTAATAAAGATTAGACCAATTATTATAAAGTGTCACCCAAAAGAAAGTTCTTTGTAAGGAATGATGTACTGTATGAAAAAAAATCACAATACCCCAGTCCCCACTCCACTTCCCCAAAAGGCATGTTAACAGAATGATAAAGAGCTGAGTGAAATTGGAAAACTCACATTGAAGTGCTCTGGTCTGATCTTTTCTGGCAATCCGTGCATCTCCATTGCTCTGTGGATATACTATGTAACCTGACTGACACATGTGCTACATACAATATTATGCACAACCAACATTTGGAGGATGTGGGCCTGGGACAGGGCAGGTTCCTTTCCCACCCTGGCAGCCCTTGCAAACAATATTAGATGTGTCTTGCTTGTCAATACCTCTGTGGGTTTTATTAATGTTACCACCACCAAGTCTCTCTTACAATCCCTGTGCAGCACCTCTGCCTGCAGTGTCCTTCAACCCTCAGCCCTTTCTCCAGGAAGAGGAAGAAATCTCACCAGCCAGTGACCTAGCTTTTCATGGGCTCTGCCAGCCCCTCCTCACCATGCTTTTAACTAGCCTCCCCAGCCAGTGAGAACATTAGTTCCTTAGCTCATCAACCTCCAGTCTGTTTAAGCAATTAAGTACTCTCCTCCTCCAGGAAAGGCCTGATGGTGCTAATTAATGCTTAAGTGATCAGAGTGCTGGGTCAGCTACTGGCTCCCAGCACTCTGTCACAGAGCCACAAGGGGCCTTTTCCCAAGGAATTTCTGTAGTTTATAGATACAGAGTAATACATTCACATACTCTCTAAAATGCAGGTGAACTTTAACCATAAAGTCAGGTGAAGTGGGAAAATATGCAGACCAGCTTCCTGCCCCTCTTTATTTTTGTTTGTTATAGGAAAACAAAATGTCTTGAATCTAGTTCTAGGATCTCTCTCTGTGTCTCTGTCTCTGTCTCTCAGAGGTGGATTGATTATAAATATCACAGATAATTCTTTTTAAATGTTAGTAAGTTACAAGAATATTACTTTCAAGCTAAGTCATATGAGAGACAGCTGACGGGATTCAGGGGCAAAACCATTTTTTTTCAGCCAAAAATAGGTGTATATCATGGGAAAGTTGACCAATGCTTAATCACAGGGGAGCTAGTGTGAGTAGAATCTAGTATGAGTTTCATCTTTATGATTCATTTGGAATTAATTGCAATAGCATGCTGTTTAAATACCTGAACTCTGAAATTTATAGTACATTTATTCAATTGATTTGTTGAAGAATATTTTGACTCATTAGGCTCAGAAATAAATTCCTTGTTGGAAAGAGCCAGATAATTAGTGGTTTTCAGAGGCTGCAAGGAAAAGAAAAAGGCATGGATCCTGCAAACACTTATGCACAAGTTTAACTTTACTCTTAGGAGTAGTCCAATTGAAGGCAATGGGACTAGTCAGAAGCTTGAAGTTTTTAATCATGTATGCTAGTGTCTGCAGGATGGGTCTGTGGTGAAAAAAACTTAATAAACTATGAGCTACTGGCTCCCAGTAAACTATGAACAGGGGAAGAGAGAGTGCATTGCAGTATCATTACGGAAATAACTGTGAAATATTATTTTATCAAGTTAATAAGGGCCCTCGTTCAGAAAAGCATTTCTATTAAGACAGATACTTAAGCACATGTTTAAAAGTTTTCTTGAATTGGAACGGACTTAAGCGTGTGCTTAAGTGCTTTCCTCAGTTGGGCCCAAAGTTAATAGCAATAATACTGTATCACAAGTGTGCTACAAGTGTCTGGGCCACAAGAAACATATGAACTGAACATTGTATGATGGTGTAAGAGAAAAGGAAGCTAATAATAGTAATAAACTGTATTATCATAAAACCTGTGGGTCCTTGTCAAGGACCAGGATCTCCTTGTGCTAGGCATTGTAAAAACACAGAACAAAAAGACAGTCTTGAAGAGCTTACTATCTAAATACACAAGACCGACAAAGTGTAGGGGAAGGGATAGAACACACAGCAAAATGAACAATGTGATAGCAGCAAATATGATGTTCGTTCCATTCTTTTTTCTTTTGCTTAGGAGGGGATCAGCTAAGGCGAAGGGAGAGAGGATATTGAAGAGGAGGAGAGTAGGTCTATGTCTACACTACCGCCTGTGTCGGCAAAACGTATGTCACTCAGGGGTGAAAATATTCCACCTTCTCCTCTCCCCTTCCCCCACCCCCGAGCGACATAAATTACACCAGCATATGCACTAGTGTGCAAAGCACTATGTCAGCAGGACAGCTTCTCCCACTGACATAGCTTATGCTGCTGCTTGCTGGGGTGTGTGTGTGTTTTTTTTATGCTGATGGCATAGTGCGTCTACACCAGCGCTGTATGTATAGACATGGCCTAGGAGGAGTGATGTTGAGATGACAAAACTGAGAGGGTTTGTGCAAACATCCAATCAGCAAAGGGCAGAGGAATAGAGTCAAAACTCTAGAAAGTTCTCCAAAGGTCCGTGCCTGTACTGGCTGGAGTCTCTAGAGGTATGTCTACACTGCAGCTGGAACTGTGTCTCCCAGGCCGGGCAGAGAGACATAGGCTAGTTGTACTCAAGCTAGCATGCTAAAAACACCGGTGTGGATGTTTAGGCACAGGTTAGCCACCCAAGTTTCGACGTAGAGGGCGGGGGATTATATTCACATAGCGAACCCATGCTGCTACCCATGCCTCAATGTCCACACTGCTATGTTTAGTGCACTAACTTGAAACTTCAGTATAGCCAGAGCATGTCTGTATACCCAGAGGCACGCTGCCAGCTGCACTGTAGATATACCCTGGCTGGCTCCTCTTTGCAACTTTCTCCCAAGTCCACATGATGGGGGAAGGGCAAACACCATCTAGATCCTAATTTCCCCAGCACTCCCTTGCACTTTTCTGGGTCTAGGTGGATACTAGGAGGAGGAGTGGCTCTGGCTGGGCCTTATTTCCCCCACTCCCTCCTCGTTGCTGCACTCCCTGCTTTGGCTGTCTCTGCCATTAGCTAGTAGCGCTGTGTGGAGAGAGCATGGTGACAGGATACCAGAGGGGTTATATTGATACAAGTGAAGGAACACTTACTGATTCATAGTCTCCTGGATATTCCAGGCCATAGCATTTCATCCAGTCACCCTGTACTGAGCCCAATAACTTGTATATGACTAAAGCATACCTTCCATAAGGGCATCCATCATTCTCTGATTTTTTTCTATCAAAGCCTTAGGGAAGAATTTAAAGTCCAAATCCTGCAGTCTGATATGGGCAGATTGCTGCACTCGTGCACAGCCCTATTGACTACAATCATAGGCATGCGTACGGGGTGTGCCAAATGTTCCCAAGCACACCCTAATGCAGGGGTGGGGAAATGGCCCAACTCTCCCGGCGCGGCAAGCCACGGGGTCCGCACTCCCGGGCCGGAGCGCCCAGCCGAGCATAGCAAGTCGCCGGCCCCTCCCCTGCCTTCCCTCTTCCTCTGGAGCCATGTCACCGTGCGGGCAGTGCTCTGGGGGCGGGGCCTGCGCGCTCCCGCGGGGCAGTGTTTGACTCCGCAGGGAGGCAGACACGCTCCCCACTCATCCAGAGCCATGCTGCTGCGCATGCAGCATTCCGAGGGGTGGGGCTGCCCCCTCCTGCGGGACAGTGTGTCTGGCTCTGTGCAGAGCAGAACATGCTGCTAGGAGCCTCATGGTCCGGGGCTGGGGGGGTTGGATAAGGGGTGGGGGAAGTCAGGGGACAGGGAGTAGGGTGGGTTGGATAGGGGGGTGCGA